AGGGCCCCAAGAGCCAAAATTGATTTCGACGAAGCCTCCAAGTAGGCCCTAAGACTGCCTCAGAGCGCTCCAAGAAGGCCTAAGAGGCGACCAAGACGGTCCAAGAGAGCCCCAAGGCGGCCCCAAAAAGTGTCCAAGAAAGGGAAAACGAACCGAAAATCCGAGCCTTCTGCCCCACGAGACCCCCTGGAGGCCCCAAGAAGCGCCCAGGAGGCCCTAAGAGGCCCCCAAGAGGCCCGAAAGAGCACCCAAAAGCCCCCAAGAGGCATCCAAGAGACATCCCAAGTGCCTCCAAGAGGCCTCCAAGAGGCCTCACACGAGATCCAGACGAATATCAAATGTGCGTCGCACCCACAACGCACAGGCACGGTGGCGGGATGGGCCGAAGACCATTCGATCCGCCGCCCCCTGTCGATTCATCGCAGGGGTGCCTGGCGTGCCAGATCCTCTCGGCTTTGGTTCTTTTTCCACAAGAACTCCCCCTGGGGCTCCGGCCCGTCCCGCCGGCCACCCGGAAATGTGCTCAATCCGGAAAAAAACCTTCTAAGATGGCTTAAGATGGTGCCAAGATGGCCACGTTGGCCCAAGATGGCCTCCAAGATGGTCCAAGATGGCCTCCAAGTCCGCCCAAGATGGCCCAAGACTGCCTCCAAGACGGCCCAAGAGAATCCAAGACGGCCCAAGACGGCCCAAGAGGCCCCCCAGAGGCCTCCCAGACAGCCCAAGAGGCCTCCAAGAGGTCCTCCAGGAGGGCCCGAAGAGGACAAAATCATTGATTTTCGGTAGGTTTTTGAAGGATTTTGGAATTTGCTTCTTCTCGGCATTCCGACAGCTCAAGACGGCCCAAGAGGCCCCCAAGTGGCCTTCAAAATGGCCCCAAGAGGGCCCCAAGACGGCCCAAGAGGCCTCCAACACGCCCAAGATGGCCTCCAAGACGCCCAAGATGGCCTCCAAGACGGCCCCGAAGCGCCCCAAGAGGGTCCCCCGTTAGCCCAGAAAGGCCCCTAAGACGGCTCCCGACGGCGTCAGACGTGCCAGGAACCCACCAAGATGGCCGAAGCTAGCTCGAAGCTGGCCCAAAAGGGCCCAAGAGGCCCCCAAGAGGGCCTCCACGAAGGCCAGAAGAGGCCAAAAACAGTGATTTTCCTAAGGCCAAAAAAAAATGACGGATTTTGACATTTCCTTCTCTTCGGCCTGCCGACGGCCCGAGACGGCCCAAGAGCCCCCAAAGATCGCCGAAAGATCTCCCAAGAGGCCTCCAAGACGGCCAAGATGACCTTCAAGACGCCCACGCGTTCCCCGAAGGCTTTCCAAACCGATTCGGGGAACACATGGTCCGATGGCTTCGCAGGTCTGGCCTCAACGTTCGGCCACATAGGCGCTTCCACAAAGGCAGGGGGCGGCGGTGATTCGCCGTAGGCGTCTTCGATCCGCCGCCCTCTGTCGATTCATCGCAGGGGTGCCTGGCGTGCTAAATCCTTTCGGTTTGGGTTTTGGCTCTTATTCCAAAAGAGCTCCCCCTGGGGCTTCGGCCCGTCCCGCCGGCCACCCAGAAAGATCTTCCAGAGGTGGTTGCCAAGGGTTTTTCCTGCTCCAGACGGCTCCAAGACGGCCCGAGATGGCATCCAAGACGGCTAAGATGGCCCCAAGATACCTCCAAGACGGCCCAAGATAAGACGGCCACAGATGGACTCCAGATGGCCTCCAGATGGCCCAAGAGGCCCCAAGAGGCCTCCAAGACAGCCCAAGAGGCCTCCAAGAGGTCCTCCAGAAGGGGCCGAAGAGGCCACAATCAATGATGTTCCTTAGGTGTTTGAGGGATCTTGGCATTTGCTTCTTTCTGTCTTCCGACGGCTGAAGACGGCCACAGAGGCCCCCACGATCGCCCCAAGATCGCCCACGAGGCCTCCAAGATTGCCCCATGACTATCCAAGAGGCCCCCAAGACGGCTCCAAGAGGGCCCCCAGACGGCCCAACCAAGATGGCCGCCAAGACGGCTGATATGGCCCCATGATGCCTCCAAGACAGCCCAAGATGCACCCAAGACGGCCTCAGATGGCCTCCAGATGGCCCAAGACAGCCCAAGAGGCCTCCAAGACGGCCCAAAAGGCGTCCAGGAGGTCTTCCAGGAAGGCACGACGAGGCCAAAATCATTGATTTCCTTAGGTGTTTGAAAGATTCTGGCATTTGCTCTTCTCGTGATTCCGACGGCTCAAGACGGCGCAAGAGGCCCCCAAGATCGCCCAAGAGGCCTCCAAGATGGCCCCATGACTGCCCAAAAGGCCCCCAAGACGGCCCCACGAGGGCCCCAAAACGGCCCCAGAGGCCTCGAAGACGCCCAAGATGGTCTCTAAGAACCCCTGATATGCCCCAAGAGGGCCCCAAGACGACACAGACAGGCCATCAAAACGGCTTCCGACGGCGTCAGACAAGCCAGGAACGCCCTTAGACAACCAAAGAGGCCCCAAAAAACCCTCCAAGAGGCCCCCAGGAAGCTCCCAGGAGGCCCCAATAGCGCCCCAAGAGGCGCCCAAGAGGCCTCCTCCTCCTCCTCCTCCTGCTCCTCCTCCTCCTCCTCCTCTTTTGTCCTCTTCCTGCCCCTCCTTCTTTTCTTCCTCCCCCACGCGTTCCCCGAAGTCTTTCCAAACCGACTCGGGGAACAACTGGCCCGATAGCTTGGCCAAGCTCTGGCCCAGCTGTCGGCCACAGAGGCGCTTCCAAAGGTGCAGGGGGCGGCGCTGATTCGCCGTAGGCGTCTTCGATCCGCCGCCCCCTGTGCTTGTCACAGGGGTGCCCGGCGTGCTGGATCCTTTCGGTTTTGGTTTTGGCTCTTTTCCAAAAACTCTCCCCTGGTGCTCCGGCCCAGCCCGCCGGCCACCCGGAAGCACAAGAAGAGATCGCACGAGGTGGTTGCAAAGGTTTGTCCTGCTGCAGACGGCTCCAAGATGGCCCAAGATGGCCTCCAAGACTGCCCAAGAGGGTCCAAGATACTTCCAAGTCCGCCCAAGAAGCCTCCAAGACGGCCCAAGAGGCCTTCGAGAGGTCTTCCAGGAGGGCTACAATCATTGTTCGTTCCTCAGGTTTTTGAAGGATTTCGTATTTACTCTTTTTCGGCCTTCCGACGGCCCAACAGGGCCCAGGAGGTCCCGAAGATCGCCGCCAAAGCGCCCAAGAGGCCTCCAAAATGGCCTTAGAACTGCCCAAGATGCCCCCAAGACGGCCCCAAGAGGGCCTAAAGACTGCCCAAAGAGGGCCCAAAGACGGCCCAAAGAGGCTGTAACACGCCCACGAAAACTTCCAAGACGGCCCTGGAGCACCCCAGGAGAGCCCCAAAACAACTCCAGGGGCCTCCAAGACGCCCAAGATGGCCTCCAAGACGGCTAAGATGGCCCCATGATGCCTCCAAGACGGCCCAAGATGCACCCAAGACGGCCTGAGATGGCCTCCAGATGGCCCAAGACGGCCCAAGAGGCCCCAAACATCGCACCAAGATCGCCCACAAGGCCTCCAAGATGACCCCAAAACGGCCCAAGAGGCCCCAAGACAGCCCAAAGACGGCCCAAGAGGCCTCTAACACGCCCACGAAAGCTTCCAAGACGGCCCTGGAGCACCCCAAGAGGGCCTCAAGTTGGCCCAGAGAGGCCCCCAAGACGGCTTCCGACTGCGTCAGACGGGTCAGGAGCCCACCAAGACGGCCCAAGATGGCCCTAGATGGTCCAAGACGGCACAAGAGGCTTCCCATGGGGCCTCCAGGAAGGCCCGAGGAGGCCAAAACCATTGATTTCTGAGGCAGAGAGGATTTGGGCATGTGTTTCTTTTCTGCCTTCCGACGGCCCGAGACGGCCCAAGAGCCCCTAAAGATCGCACCAAGATCGCCCACGAGGCCTCCATGACGGCCCAAGAGGCCTCCGAGACGCCCAAGATGGCCTCCAAGCCTTGGAGCACCCCAAGAGGGCCCCAAGTTGGCCCAGGGAGGCCCCCCAGACGGCTTCCGACGGCGCCAGACGGGCCAGGAGCCCACCAAGACGGCCAAAGAGGCCCCCGAGTAAGCCCCCAAAGGCCCCCAAGAGGCCCAAGGAGGCCCCCAAGATGCCTCTAAGAGGCTTCCAGGAAACTCCCAGGATGCCCCAATAATATCCTCATAGGCTCTCAAGATGTCCCCTCCTCCTCCTCCTCCTCCTCCTCCTCCTCCTCCTCCTCCTATTTCACCTCCTCCTCTGCCTCCTCCTGATCTTCCTTGCCATCTTCCCCCAAGTGTTCCCCGAAGGGTTTCCACAACGGTTGGGGGAACACATGGTCCGATAGCTTGGCGGAGCTCTTGCCACAACGCTCGGCCACATGGGCGATTCTAGAAGGCAGGGGGCGGCGGCGATTCGCCGTAGGAGTCTTCGATACCAGAAGCACGGTTTCGAGCGAGATGGAGCACGGCACGCGTGAAACAACAAAGAGGCCGGGGAAAGCCTGCATCACATCGCAATCTCAAAATCGTCCTCCTGAGCAACATCGGGGCAGCACCGCAGCCAGGCCGAATCTCTACACCTACGCCTCCGCCCCCCTCGTGGCACGGCAAGAGAAAGCACGGCAAGACGTGGGCTAAGGCCCTGGGTCTAGATACCTAGACACCGGACAGGTTACTCCAGGTCTCTCAATAAGCGTGGGGGGGTGGATCGCCCAGGGGGGTGGGAAACCGCTGTCCTTCGGGGAGCGTGGGGAGGTTCGGGAGCGAGAGGGGGTGCGTTTGGGGCGCGTGGGGGGGCGGGCAAGGGGCGTCGGACAGGTTGGCACGGGGGGGGTGCTTAGCGAAGGATCTGGAGTATAGATTCAGATCGCAACAACCCGCCTGCGCATCCGCCACGGGGGCGAAAGCATCCCTGTCCGACCTCGCTCGAGTATAAAGGCTCCTGCCATCATGGCGCAAGCTGTGGCTTCTGTCAACGCGTAAGCCATTCCGTATGTGCACAACCTCCGCCTGCCAGGTTGAAGAGGGCTGTCAGCGGCCTTCAATCTTGAACGCCCGCGCCCGCACTGCCCCCGCGCCAGAATGGACCGAACCAACAATGCCCACCGACGAGGGCCCAGACCGAACGCGTGGGACACGGCAGCGCACAGGCGGCGCCCCCTACTGGAGGCCTGGAAATGAGCACCAACACCAACACAGAAGGGTTGCCTCCACAGGGGGAAGATGATCCTAGATCTCGGTGATTGTGGTAATATTTCGGCCACCTTGGAAGCCAGAATGTTGCCACCATCACCGAGATCGGCACATTCTTCCCCAGTGGAGGCACACCGCCGATATTGGTGTTGGTGCCAACCTCCAGGCCTGCGACTCTGGCGTCTCCCAGACTCTTCAGTTGGCACCCTCCGCTCTCCTCCTCCGCCTGCGGCCTGGGCCCGCGCGCAGGGAGCCGCGACCCACCCCGCGGCCGCACTCCGAGGGCTCCCAACTCCGCGCTTCGCGCTCCGCGAAGGGCGAGTAACTTCGCGCTCGTGCGCCGCCCCCCCAAAGGGAGAAAAGGAGGACGAGGAGGAGGGGGAGAAGGAACGAGGACCGCGAAGCGCGAATAACTTCGCGCCCTCGTGGGAGCCCTTGCCTCTCTCCTCCTCCGCCTGCGGCCTGGGCCCGCGCGCAGGGAGCCGCGACCCACCCCGCGGCCGCACTCGGTGGGGCGGCCCGCCCTGCCGGCAGCGCGCCCCACTGGCAAGAACTTAGGACGCCCGAGACGGGTGCTGCAAAAATGGGTACAATGCCCAACAACAAGTGTTGTCCCAGACCAACAGCGGCCGCTGTTGAGCAGGCGGCCTTCTGTCTCGAATGGACACAGGCTGCGGCGGCGTGGACAGCGAGTCCTGTTCAAAATGAACAGGACCTGCTGTTGGGCATTGTACCCATTCTTTCCGTACCCATTTCGCTCGTGCAGAAGAACGGCGGAAGCGGGAGGCAGGGGACCGGCCGGCCGGCACGCAGAGCGCGCCGCGAGCCTCCCGACGGCGGTAAGCGCGCTCCACTGCTCGCAGAGCCGCTGCTCGCAAGTGGCCCGGATCTGCCGCAGGGAATGTACTCCAGGTCTCTCAATAAGCGTGGGGGGGGTGGATCGCCCGGGGGGGTGGGAAACCGCTGTCCTTCGGGGAGCGTGGGGAGGTTCGGGAGCGAGAGGGGGTGCGTTTGGGGCGCGTGGGGGGGCGGGCAAGGGGCGTCGGACAGGTTGGCACGGGGGGGGTGCTTAGTGAAGGATCTGGAGTACGATGAATTGCATCGAGGCGAGCGTGTGCTTTTCCGAAGTTTGCGAGTAGGCACTCTGCGAGGAATGGAACGCGCTCGGTGACCGACGGCGGCAGTGACACCCAGGTCGGCCCCCCGCGGACGTCGACAGCCAGGGCCGTCCTCCGGCGCGCGGGCGCAGACCCGTGCCTCCTCGGCGTCTGGGCCCAGGGCCCGGGCGGAGGACTTCCGAGCGCCGGCGTGTCGCTCGCCCCCCGGGTCTGCAGGCCTGAGGTGCATGCTCTGACGCCCCACGCCTGACTGGGCAAGCGCGCTCCACTACTCGCAGAGTCACTACTCGCAAATGGCCTGGAACAGCTGCGGAGAATTCACGATCCATTACATCGAGGCGAACGGGAGTTCTTTCGCAGGCACTTTGCAAGTAGTGGAACGCGGTCGGTGACTGACGACAGATGCAAATGGTCAGCGATTCGGATGTACCTTTTTTCTGTTTTTTTCTCTCTTTAGCTCTCTCTCTCTCTCTCTGCTCCCCTCACAGGGCGTACCTCTGCGATCCTCAGCTGCTGCGGTCGCGCAGGCCAGGACACGATCAATCAGCTGCATGCATGCAGTCTGCTACGCACGGTTCGGCCAAGCGTGGCGCGCAGCCCTCGGCTTGATGAGACCTCGCAGCCCGCAGCGATTCGGATGTACCTGATCTGCTCGGCTAGCAGATCGCAGCCTCGGCTGGCGACACAAAGCTCCTCCGACACCACCTCACGGCTCAAGCGTGTCTTCGACGTCCCCCCCCTCCCACAGCGCTCCGCTGCCGAGGGTTTCGCGCAGAATCGCGGGGACGCATACCAACTTCGAATATCCACACCATCCTGATTGAAGCGAACATGTGGCGGCGGCGCTGCACAACGTCTCCCACACATCGGCTCGTGGAGAATACCAACAGGCCCGTACGACCGAAGAAGGGCGAATGGGCATACGATGATCCTGAGAAAGCTCATGAGGAAGTCAATGTCATGAAATCCCCTACGGGGCCATATGACATGCGTCAATACCAAGAGACTGAGATGGAGAGGGAAACGGAAGAAGGACAGCGACCAAGCGGATGAAAGTTGGTATAGCTCGAGGGAACGCCGAAGACGTATGACGACGTAGACAATGGAAAAATGACAGAACGAGGGTGGTTAGGAGGCGAAGAGGGAGATCATGCGATGCTGACAACGGACCCATGATGCCTCACTGACTCAGGAACTCCCAGGCTACCTCTGGCGCAGTTCGTTTAGGTGCTTGTCTCTTCCGATCCCCCTGTTTTCCCTTCCGACCCCACGCGAGAAGACTTTCCCCCAGCCTCGCGAAGCCTCTTGAGGTCACCTCGGGGGCATGTCGGGGGCCTCTTGGGGGCCTCCTGGAGGCCCCTGGGCCCTCCTGGGGGCCTCTTGGAGGCCTCCTGCCGGCATCTGATTTCCCTATGCTGGCATCAGTGTGCCTCTCGGGGGCGCCTCGGCGGCATGTACAACTAGGCATTTGGACGGGCCTGGTGCCCTCTTGGGGGCGGAACCGTCTTGGAGCTTTCTCGGAGCCCTCTTTCAACCATCTGGGAGGGCTCGACAGCCATTCAGGAATGAGATGGCGAGAAGGCTTCAGTCACAGACTTCCTGCATGGTTGAAGGGTTTGGGTCTCTCGGGGCCTCTCTCGGGGCGTCCTGGGTCATCTTCAGGCCGATCTGGAGGCTGTCTTGGCGTGTCTTCTCACATACTGTATCGTCTGGTCTTGTCTCGTCTGGTCCTCTCTGGTCCTGGTCTTGTCTTGTCTGGTCGTCTTGGCCCATCGTGGGGGCGTCTTGGGCCGTCCTAGAAGCGCGGGCACGCCAGTCCCATGGCCAGGCGCTAGGCTGGAGGGGTCCGCCCGTCTCCCCTGGGTCTGGAGAGGGGGGGGGAGGTGTCAGAGGGTCCCTTCTTGGCCAAGACCGCTCCAACAGGGCCCCAGATAGCCCAAGCTGGCCTCCAAAGTGGCACAGCATGGCCCAAGATAGCATGCTTCAAGCAGGTTCCAAGATCGCCTACAGACGGCTCCAAGTGGGCACGGAACCTCCCAACGATACCTCAAAGAGGCCAACATCCTTGAAACGCCGAGGGTGTCTGAATGCGGTGTGTCGTCTCGCCTCTTCGCTTCCGAATAGTTTTGAGGCGTCAAGATGTGCCCAAGACTGCCAAAGAAAACCCTGGGCTGGCGGGCATCGTTTCTGAGTGGGCTGCCGCGGCTGGTGGGGGCGCCTCGGCCTCCGCCCTGCGCCGCTCCGCGCGGGCAGAATCAAAAACCGCTGACGCGCCGACAAATCCGCGGGCGGTCCCATCAGTGAAACCCCATGTCCGGAAGCTTATTCTACCTTCGGCACTGCAGATGTGATAGCTCAAGGCCAGATGAGAAAGCGCACACCTGCACGACTGGCGACATCTTCTTCAGCTCCTTCACCACTGTCTGGGTTTGGCTAAAATTAGAATATGGCCCCCATCCGAGCATGTTCCGGCTGGCCACCTGCGCAAGCGGTGGCAGCACATTCTGCTCCACTGTGTGATGGTCGCATGCTTAATCAGCACGTCGATCTCGATAAAACAACGTCTGCAGGCACCAATACCTTTCAATGTCTGACTCGCCTCGGCCCCAACTGCACATCGCATCTACCATGCGGCAGTACACTTGATCCAACATTAGAACACTACACCACTTGCCACATATGCACATACCAACGCCAATGTCCGAAATGAAAGCGAAAACGAGCACTTGGCACCAGGGAGGAGTAATCCCTGCCACCAAAGTCCTGCGATTACTTATTGGCTCGACTCCGACATTAGATCACTGACATCGTACCGTACTTGAATTCGCCAATTTGACTGCGTCCTGAGTCGAAACGGTCCCGTGAAGGGAAAGTCCAAGTCCACGTGACGCTCCCATTAGCATCCCAACGCCCCCATCAGACCCAGATACCACACATCCACAGGCCTTGACCGGGCCCCAAGAACATCAAACAACGATTCGGGATGAAAAACCTGTCCCAGGCCAGCCCCCGAGAGGGTGGCATCGCGCGCATCCCAGGAATCGCACTCCAGGCGCACGCCACTGAGAGGGGCGGGGGCAGCATCGGATCAGTAGACCAAAAGTATGGGGGGGCCGGTCCTGATCCACGCGCGGTGCGCGCACCGGGCGCGCTGGGGCCGCACGCTGTCCTCCTGTAGACCTTCGCATGCGGTGCGCGCGTCTGCTGCATGCCGTGGTCTAAAGGCAAAGGGCATTGCTGGGGGCCGTCTGGTCGGGGCCTAGTGGACGGGATAAACGAATACCTGATCCTTTCCCAAGAAAACTGCAGCCGCAGGACGAAATACTCCCCCTTCGTTTCTCCCGCTGGATATGGGCGAAAACCTGCTCGGCAGCGTCCTGGCTCTCAGGGGCCTGATTCGGGGTGTGGGATCACGCGCTGGATCGATGACGTCTCCTTGCCCCTGCGTCGTGCTGCACCACCTGCGGAGACGCATCGCCGTGTCAGCACAAGCTGGACGGGCACTCCCAGGCGGACGGCAGATCCTCTCCTCCATATCCCCTCCCTCGACCCTCCCCTCCCAGGTCTTGTCGCCATCAGTCCCTGCTGCCCTGTCTTGCACCAGCGTGCCTGCGCCTTGTAGGCCACGTTCTCCAGCAGCAGAGGGACCATGATCGAAGTCTGCGTGGCAGGGATGATGCTGGCGTTGTCCTCGACGGACGCGCAGACAGGCAACCCCACTAAATATGGGCTGGCATGATCTGGGCACTAGGTTGGTGCATCAAATATAGGTCTCCCTGGCCAAGGCCAGGAGTGTCTGTACGCCCGTCTGGGCCCCAGGATGCGCCTGGTCAAGCTTGTCCGCAGTATGGTCGCCATTTTGTGCCACATGCTTACAATGTTGCCCTCGTTCGCATTCCGCAGCGCCGCGCGTCTCGCACTCCCACTCATCCCTTCTTCCCCTCCCTTATTATCTCGCTTCCTGTTGTTGCCCTCTCGCCGCACCACTCACGCGGATCGCGCCCCATAGGGAGCTTCCCATACAGCTCTGGCGGGGGTTGCGCGCACACGGATCGCGTCCCATAGGAAGCGCCACACGCGGCCAAAACGGGGTGTACGTCGAGCACCATAGGGAGCTCCGGTGGCGGCGTGAGCATGCGCCGCACGCCAATGACCGTAACCCCTTCAAACGGGTCATTGCGCATTGGAAGTTCAGCTTCAGCCCAGCTTTAGCTTAGGCTGCAGAGGTAGCCTTGTCCCCCGAATCTGTTTCGGGACATACATGATTGAGAGTCACCTTTAGCATTATTTTCAGAGGTATGTTTGGCTTTGGATTTAGCTTGGCTTTGGATGTGGGTGGGCTGTTGAGTGTCGGTTTGGATTTAGCTTCACTGAGACGAGCTTGGCGTAGAATAGCCTACGCGGGTAGCCCGACTCAGCTTTACGGACCGCTCCGTTCGGTTAGCGTGGCGTCGATTCGCTCGGTTTGTCCTTCCTTGCAGCATGGCTGGATGTGCATTCCCATTTCTAGCTTTACCAACTGCTTGATTCGCGATGACCGAGGTAGGTAGCGCACTCGACAGAGCAGCCACCAACATCAGAATTGGCGAGCGCACGGACATCGACGCGAACGCCAATGCGAATTGCAGATTGTAACGTATGGCACGAAATCGAATGCGAATTTCGCACTCGTGATCACTCCTGCCACCTCGCCCTTCACCTCCAATGCGACCATCAACACAACACGCGCACCCGTTCGCAACAGCAAGACACGGCTGCATCGCAGCACGGCGGTCGCACGTCAAAGCGATGGGAGTCCGATGCACATGGGAAGAAGTCGTAAAGGCGCAGCGTCCTTGTTGTCATGGGGCGCGCCCTTGGCATCTAAGTACAGCGTCACCTTCCCGTCGTTCAGTGCAACTGCGTAGGCGGTGCACGGCAGACCGAGCTTGGGAGGCTCCCATATAACCTCGGAGTAAATGTTTTGCATCTGCCTCGTTCGTACGTACACCGCGCACTGGACGGAAACGGTTGCGAGAGGAAATCAGAACACTATGTGGCAGGGGGGAGATGGGACAGAAGAAACAAAGGGGAGCACAACATATCAACAAATGGACTACTATGTTCCGCACCTGGCCCTTGTTCTTCGGCCGCAATCGGGGCCTGATCCGCCACCACGCCACCTGGCACGTTGAGGCGTGGTAGAATTCCGAGGGCTATTTGGTCGTGTTTCTGCAATGTGCTAAGCCCCCAACCTCGCGTTACGTCGCGCACCCCCCCTTCTCCCTCCCCACCCACCCCACCCCACCCCCCATCCCACCCCACCCCACGCACGCCCCACACCACCACACACACAATCAGCCTTGCCAAGAATATCACCAGCCCTTTGAGCGTAAGTGGTCTAACGAGTAATTCCGCTCCTCTTCCCCAAACGTATCTTCCCTTAACCAAGGGCACTCTCACCCCCCCCTGTCCCAACCATCATACGGTGTGGGGCCCTCGTTTTGCAAAGACAGCGCCCCTTGTTCCACCTCCTCCTTTTCCCCCCTTCTCCGACCCTTGCCTCTGCCCTCCGTATGTCAACCATTTCAGCGCACCCAGTGCCGCGCTTCGTGGCCCCATGGGGAGCTCCACCTAAGGCCCCAGTGGCTGTGACCACATGCGTCCCCACCACGCATGTCGGCCCCGACCCTCACACGCTTCGTGGCCCCATGGGGGGCTCCATCGAAGGCCCCAGTGGCTGTGACCACGTGCGTCCCCGACGCCGAGTTCGGCACAGCCCTCACACGTGTCGTGCCCCCTTGGGAGCTCCACCGAAGGCTCCAGTGGCTGTGACAGCGTGCGTCCCCGCCACCGGTTTCGGCACACCCCTCACACTTGTCGTGGCCCCATAGGGAACCCCACCGAAGGCCCGACTGGCTGTGACCACGTGCGTCCCCACCATCCATTTCGATACATTCCTCACACGCTTCGTGGCCCAATGGGAAACCTCACCGAAGGCTCCAGTGGCTGTGACCGCAAGCGTCTCCGCCACCCATTTCGGCACACTCCTCACACGTTTCGTGGCCCCGTAAGCAGCTCCACCGAAGGCCCGACTGGCTGTGACCACGCGCGTCCCCGCAACCCATTCCGGCACACCCCTGACACGCTTCGTGGCCCCAGGGGGAACGCGCCACCGAGAGCCCCACTGGTTGTGACCACATGCGAACCCGCCACCAATTTCGGCACACCCCTCACACGCTTCATGGCCCCATAAGGAGCTCCACCGAAGGTCCCACTGCCCGTGACCAAACGCGAACCCGCCACCCATTTGGGCACACCGCTTACGCGCTTCGTGGCCTCATGGGGGAGCCCCACTGTAAGGCCCCAGTGGCTGTGACCACATGCATTCCCGCCGGTTTCGGCACACCCCTCACACGCCCCACCGAAGGCTCCAGTGGCTGTGACCACGTGCGTCCCCGCCACCCATTTCGGCACACCCCTCGCACGCTTCGTGGCCCCATGGGGGGCCCCACCGAAGGCTCCACTGGTGTGACCGCAAGCGTCACCCAATTCTGCACACACCCCACGCGCTTCGTGGCCCCAGCTCCACCGAAGAGGATACGCACCATTGCAGTACTCATACGTGCATATGGTTGGGTTGCTCAGCCGGATTATGTTCGTGGGGCGGGGCGCAATGTGTCAGATGGCCACTACTCGCCAAAATGGCCCCCAATGCTCCAAGATGGTTTCCGACGCGGCTGAAAATGGCCGAAGAACCAAAAGAGGCCCGACGAAACACACAAGACGGTCACAAGTGCACCCCAGGAAGGCACCGACCTGAAACAAATCCGCCTGCCATACGGTGTGTGTGTGAAACGATTTTCCGTGCGAGCCGTCGTCGTCGCACTCGTTGTCGTCGTCGTCGTCGTCGTCGTCGAATTCGTCGTCGTGGTCGTCGTCGTCGTCCTCGTCGTCGTCGTCGTCGCCAGCCCCGAAGAAGTTGAGGAACAAAGAATATGAACGTTGTAACAAAGCCGATTCCCTTCCAGTTATCCCATCCCCGCCAGGGGGGCGTCAAACAAGCGCCCTTCAACGTGGGTTTGGGAGCGAATTACCAACGCGCGTGCATATTTTCGTATTATGATGTAGGGCGCACCGTGCCGGCGCGGCGGTGAAAATCATGCGATGAAAGATTCGCGCCGACGGCAAGCAACTACCAAGGCACACGCAGACGAAGACCATGTGTTGAACGTACATGCGAAACTAGTAAGGCAGCGCACTGGCCAGAACCAGCCTTGCCTCAAGCAAATGCAACCGAAGCGGGGATTGATATGTTTACGACCGCGGCTTTCCCTGATATGAAACTAGAAGCACATTTAATGTGCATTGTGGCTCGGTGAACTGCCTGAGATTGGCGAATCACGCCGACGCCATGCAGGTGTCAACGAGCATGCTTTCCTCCTTCTTCTTCCTGCACCGCGCCCCCGACATGAGCATGCTCCTCTACCATAGTCGCATGGCTATGTGCCAGGGGATTGATCGATTCTGACATATTCAGTGGTCTGTTGTCTTGTCTCAACATGGCTCTTTGATCTGAGTTCTCAACTGCTGGAACGCGCATCGACGACATGGCTCAACATGTAGACCCGCTAAGGAAGCACAGCGTAACACATAAATGCGTAGATGCGAGCTAGAGCGAGGCGCGCGCACCTGTTGATGTCCTTTTTGTGCCGCGTTCAACTGTGGCGCGACCAATAACAAACAACACGGCGGCAACGTGGCAGCGGCGGCGGCTCGAGCAGGCACGGAAGGGACCATGTTCATGACGAGACGATCTGTTTTCTAGCGGCTATTGCTTCTGTGTAACTTACTCTGGCAGTCTCAGCGCCGCCTGGACTGCCGACAGGAGTCTGACGAGCAAAGTGAACCTGTAAACAGACTGGCCAGCGTGCACGGCAGACACAAACTGCTCCACTCCCTGTGACCAAGGGCGGCACGAGGGCGGGTGATGAAGAAAGCGAGGCTTGAGCACAAACGGTTGCGCATACAGCGTTGCAAGAAGACTGGCAAGCTGAGACGGTTTCCGTTTAGGTGGACATGGAGGGGTATTCAGGGCCCGACACTCGAAAAGCCTCAGCACGTCATTATCGTGCTACGCACACCCATGACGAGACGATCTGTTTTCTAGCGGCTATTGCTTCTGTGTAACTTACTCTGGCAGTCTCAGCGCCGCCTGGACTGCCGACAGGAGTCTGACGAGCAAAGTGAACCTGTAAACAGACTGGCCAGCGTGCACGGCAGACACAAACTGCTCCACTCCCCAATTCTGTCCCAAAGCTGGCGTGGGCCAGTTCACACATTTAGATAGAGGGACCTTATGGGGGCTAAAAGGGCAGCCGCGAGCGAGCGAGCGAAAGCGACGGGCATTTCAAAACTGGTCAAACACAGAGGACCTGGGTGCCTTCTGGTTCGAGGTCCCTGGATCCGCAGCCCGTCGAGATCTCGAGATGAGATCCCTGCACATAAAATTACCCACGGGAGACGGTGATGACTACCGAAAGCACTGAGCGTGTTATCTACTCGAGTGGCTGCGCAGGCAGCAAGCTTGTGCAGGGCTGGCCTCAGCGCGGCTGAGGTGTCATAGTGCAAGATTAGGCAAGGAACAAAAGCTTTGGCGGCCGCTCGCATGACTCGTTGGACGTGCGACGTGTGACGAGAGCTGAAACCTGACTCAACCAAAACACCTAGGAGACGCTTACGCTGGAGATCGCACACTAAGGATCTGGCGAACAATGCGTCGGGACGCTCGCCATGCAAGCATCTGACCTTAAAACCTGACGCACGAAGCGGCCGCCCGATCTGCCGACTGTGCGGTCCCCAGACGCAAATCCAGCGTGACACGACGCCGCGGCTTACGGGAAAACGGGCACGGCCTGCCCGTCTAAGAGCACTCCCACGAGCCGAGCCTCGCACTGCTTTGCGTGCGCCTTGAAGTTCTCGCTCAGCCTCTCCCAGGTCTTGCTCAGCAACGCGTGCTTCTCGTACCGCTGAAGGCTCTTGTCTGTCTTCCAGCCGCCGCGACGCTTGATGGCTGCCATGTCTCGAAACCCGTGGAGGCGGTCGTGGGAGGCTCCTGAGTGCCGAGCCTGGTATGGTACCACATCGATCTTGAGGCGGTTTGCCACGGTCTTGAACGAGCGGGCCAGCTCGGGGTAGCTGAAACGCCAGAGACACTCCCCAGCCGTCCGCGACTTGAGGGCCTCCAACAGTGGGTGGAGCGACTTCCAGAAAGAGTGGTCCAGCATGCAGCTCTGGTCGAACTCGTTCACCTTGTTGGCCACTCCCCCCTCGTACGGGTTCAGCGTCACTCCCCACATGCCCGTCACGGAGTTCGGGGCTATGAGGTCGTCGGGACGCATGGCCAGCAAGCTCCCAGGCCTGCAGTACGTGCTCCACATCACGAGCACCGCCAGTCCCATCTCGAGCTTTCCGTCCTGAACCAGGCCGTTGATGATGGCTGCCCAGACTGCGAAGGCCTGAGGGACGCGAGCCCGAGGCGGAACCACGTTGACCCAGCCCTTGAGCGCCCGCCAGCTGCGAGGCAGGCCCTGGCGCCCGACCTTGCCGAACTGCGGCATCACGTGCATGACCGAGGCAATGACCTTCATTCCTTTGGACGGGGCCTCCCCCTTCAGCCACAGCTCTTCGAAGTACATCACCAGCAGCTCGTCCAGGCGACTGGTGTCCACATCCTGAATCCGGTCCACCTCGGCCCACTCCGCGAACGATGTGAGCTCCTTCACGTACGACCTCTCGGTGCGGACCCTCACGGCGCGCTGTTCCAGCACACTGAGCCCGTGCAGCTGCTTGTCCCTCTCCATCACCTCCTGCAGCCACCTCTCTAGACGCCGCTTGCCGCGACGCTCGAGTCGGCGGGCCCGATCGGCGCGCTCGCCCTGCGCGTCGGACTCGCTCGAAGTGGAGTCG